GTTCTGTGTTTGGCAAGGGCATGTGCCCTATAGCAAAAACCTCTCCAAAAAAAAAAAAAAAAATCTAAGGAGGTCAAAGGGCACGTATTTTAGAATAGACGAAGGATCTAAAAAATAGAATAAAAAGGGACTCTGGGAAGGAGATGGTGCTGCTTGTCTCCTTTTGCAATGGCCTATCCAGTTTGGGGGAAGTACCTCTCAATAAACCTTGTGCTTGGGCCAGTCACATGGCATGGTGGTTAAGGTGCTGGATCCCATATGTCTAAGTGCATGGTTCCAGACCTGGACCTGGTGGCCTGGAAAATATGCCAGACACGAGACCAGCAGGTGGCATGGTAGTTGGAAGTGCTGGATTCCCACATGGCTGACTACAGTTTGAGGCCCGGACTTGGCAGCTTGCTTTCTCACTTTCTCTTTTTCTCTCTCTCTCTGTCTCTGTCTGGTCAAATTAAAAAATAATAACAAATGGAATTAAATAAATCAATTTTAAAAAAAGAAAGAAAGAAAGAAAGAAAGAAAGAAAGAAAGAAAGAAAGAAAGAAAGAAAGAAAGAAAGAAAATATGCCAGGCACGTGTCAATGCATGCCCAAAAATCCTGAAAAGAAAATGGGTTGAAATGAGAAGGGATTGTGGCTTGGCCGTTCTCTTCAGGGGGTGATTTTTATTATATTTTAATTTTTTGACTGGTGGCGGGGGGCTTGGGAAAGCAAGCTGCCAGGTCCAGGACTCGAACCACAGTCAACCTGTGAGAGTCCAGCACTTTAACCACCAGGCCACTGCCAGCCCCTGTCCTTCAATTCTTTGCTGCAACAGGGAGACCTGAACAGCATTATTTTCTCACCCTAACAAATGAATGGATAAGTAATTTGTACCAGATTCGTATGATGGAATATTACTGAACAGTAAGAAGGATTAAATTGGACCAGCCTGGGTCCTGGTGAAGGCAGCTCGATCCCACACAGCTGACCTCTCTCTTCAAGTTCTGGACCCAGCAGCTAAACATTGGCTACATGTGCATGCATGCCTAAAATCCTGCAAAGTGGGAGAAATAGAGAAGGGATGATTGGGACCAGCAGTTGGCATAATGGCTATGTGTCTGGACTCCCATGTAGTTGACCATGGTTTGAGTCTTGGACCCGGTGGCTTAAACTCATGCCAGGTGCGTGTGTGTGCATGCCCAAGATCTCAAGAGGAGAATGGAGAAGGGATTGCGGCATGGCCATCTTCCCAGGGGGTAATTTCTCGCTTTCTGTCTCTGTCTCTGTCTCTTTCTGGCGAGTGCACGCGTCCTATAGCAAAAACCTCAACAACAACAAAAAAAGGGATTGTGGGGTGACCCTTTCCCATGTGGGGTGCTGGGCTGGAGTTGCTAGGTTTGGTCATGGCGTCAGACTATTAGACTCTAACCATGGCCACTTGAGGGGCACACTCACACCCCAGCCTTCCTGTGTCCAGAAGAAGGGATTTCCACTCCCCTTGTGCCTCTCTGATGGGTGACTTTGAGGGAAGGAACCAAGGGCACCCAGCTCTGCCCACACACAAGCACCCTGGCCTGTCAGGCAGGTGGTGAGCCACAGAGGGGCTCAGCCACACCCCTGCGACCCAACTCGGCTCAGAAGTAACGCTCATCTCACGGCTGGGCGCCCCACACCTGCGTCTTTCAAGTGGTTCAAGCTCCCAGGCAGAAAAAATTGTTGCTGCATATTGAAGCCACCAAGCCTGGCCACCTGCAAGGCTTCGCCTGCCCTTGCCCCCCATTATCTCCCCAACTTTACTTTTCTTTTAGTTTCGCCATAGGGTCCCTGCACTCACCAGAGAGACAGAGAGGGAAAGGGAGAGAAGGGAGATGGCCATGCCACAATCCATTCTCCCCTGGGGATTTTGAGCATGTGCACACATGCACTTGGCATTTTTTCTTTTTTCAAAATTTAATTCCATTTGTGGTTATTTTTTAATTTGATCAGAGAGAGGAAAAGTAAGAAAGCAAGCTGCCAGGTCTGGGACTCAAACCGTGGTCGGCCATGTGGGAGTCCAGTGCCTTTAACCACCATGCCACCTGCCTGCTCCATAGCATTGTTTGTCAAGCCACCAGGTCCAGGACTCAAACTAGAGACAACCACGTGGGATCCAGCACCTTAACCTCCATGTCACCTGCAAGAGTTTTATCTTTACTTATTTAATTTGACCAAAGGATAGAGAGGGAAAGTGAGAAAGTAAGCCACCAGGTCTGGGGCTCGAGAAACAGTGGGTCATATGGAAGTCCAGCGCCCTTAACCACCAGGCTACCTGCCTGCTCCCCCATCCTGCCCATTCTACCAAGCTTCTCTCCCTCCATTGTGTGACCTTGGTTGTTTCTGAAATTATTCTTTGGGTTACCTGTTTGTTGCTCAGACTTCTCTAGAAGGGGACTTCAAAGATTTTTCATGGAAAATGGGATTAAAGTATGAATTTGGAGGTCAGAAGGTGGTGCAATGGTAAAACATGATTCTCTGCACAGAGAGACCACAGAGACCATGCTGACTACACCATGAGTCAGGGATGATTGAGGTTAGGGTGGTTTGTGGTGTCAAGACCCAGTTGGGAATGACTTCTTCTCGTGGAAGAAATGAGCTCATTCATTTTGGTGCAAAACCATTTTTGAAATCCACAGAAAGTTTTGTCATGATATGCATTTTCCATGAACTTCTTGAAGCCCTCCCTTGTTGGAGTTCTAAGAGGGTTCTCTGCTCTGGCCCCTAGAACCTAGAAAGGTAAGTACAAAATCGGTGCTCAGGAAACACTGGTTGAATTATTCCACAAAATGCCGTTTTGGAAAACAATGCTTTTAATAGCAAAATATCTCTTGTAGAAAACTTGGAAAATGCAGAATGTACACCACTAACAATGCAACTGAGAATCTGTAAGAACACTTTGATCACGGAACTGATAATCTACCTGGCCCTGTCTTTCCATGTCTCTTGCATCCGTGCGAGTATATATAAATGGCATACAGGTGGGTGGATTTGCATAGATAATCCTCAGGGTGACCAGAGATGACTGTTCATTGAGGACCTTCTTGAGATGCTGGGTACTAAAGAATAAGGCTTTAAGGGCCAGCCAGGTGGCATGGTGGTGTAGGTAGCTGGGTCACACATGGCCAAACACGTGGCTTCGATTCCAGGACCCAGCAGCTTGAGAAACATGCCAAGTACGTGTGCACGCATGCCCAAAATCCTAACAAGGAGGAGAAATGGACAAGGGATTGTCACTTGTCTCCCATCGGGGATGCTTTATCACTTTCCCTGTCTCTCTCCAGGGAGCACACATGCCCTCTGGAAAGTCAAAAAAAAAAAAAAAAGCTTTTTGATACAATCATGAGGTAAGTGTGGTTTTCTCTATTCCGGACGTGGAAACTAGGCCTAAGAGGCTGGCTGATAGGACTGAGGTCGCACAGCTGGGAAGCACTAATTCCAACTGTTTCGGAAGCCTCAAGGGCTCAGTCCCACTGACCAGTGCCCTTCAGGCCCTCAAGCCTGATTATCTGTCCCCTTGCAGAGTACAGCTGGAAGGGGTCCCAGAAGTGGGACCGTCACATCCACCAGTCCATGGACTCCTTGGGACAGGCCCTGACGATGACCACACAGTGGGGCAGCCCCTGACACAGAACCCGCTCAGCCTCCTGGCCCTCCCACCCCAGCCCCTGCAGCTCAAGGACTCGGAGCTTGGGCATGGTGAGGCAGGAGGAGACGATCTCAGCAGGGGAGGGCATCTCCGGGGTGACGAGGGGCCCCTGTAAGCACAGACTCTCTAGGGCTGGCATGCCCTCCAGGACGGCCAGGCCCGGGGCAGAGAGGCCCCTGACGCTCAGTCGGATCTTGCGTACGTCGCGGAGGTGACGGCTGATGGCCAGGAGGATGCCATCGGCCGAGAGGGTAGAGCCCAGCACCTCGAGCCTCTGCAGGTAGCTCAGCTCCTGCAGGCTGGCATCCAGCCCCGTCTCGGTCACCCGGTAGGTGCCACCCAGCACCAGCGAGCGCAGGGCCCGGAAGCGCGTCAGGCCCAGCAGAAGCTCGTCACGGAAGGCGGGGACACGGTCCAGCACGATGCACTCGAGCAGAGGCAGCACCGTGGGGTCCTGCTCCCGGAGGAGCCAGGACATGGAGATCTCACAGCTGTGCAGCTCCAGGGTCTGCAGGGTGCAGGGCAGGCTGGCAATAGGCACCATGGTGAGGTCAGCAACGTGCAGGCAAAGGCGCTTCAGGTTGGGGCACTTCTGACCCAGGGCCCTCATCAGGGCCGGGGACAACTGGGGGGCCCGGGAGCCAGAGAACAGGTAGCCGCCCATCCGCAGGGAATAGAGCCGCGATGCCATGTACCGGCGAAGGAGGTGCCACAAGACCTTAGGCCGCATCTGTAAAGAGATTGGGGTGACTGCGTGAGAGGCACAGGGCTGCCAGGATCCCCAGCTGGCTAGAGACGGGTCCACCCTGGTCCCAAGAGCAATGAGATGGTGAGATGGCTTGGTTCCTGCACCACCACTTTTTTCCTTTTCAATTTATTTATTTATTTATTTTTAAGAATTATTTTATTTAACTTTATTTATTTACTTACTTCATTTAATTTGAACAGAGCTGGACAGAGTGAGAGAGAGAAAGTGAGAAAGCAAGCCACCAGGTCCAGGACTTGAACCACGGTCAGCCATGTGGGAGTCCAGCAACCTTAACCACCACGCCACCTGCCGGCCCCTATTTATTTCTTTCTTCTATGAATGACAGAGACAAAGAGAGGACACCTGATGGGGTCTCGACACTGTGACCCGTCCGTAGCCTCAGCCAGGCCTGACTCATGGGCGTGTAAGTGCCTGGCATACTTAGGAAAGTCTCTGGACTTGAACCAGAACGTCCCCATGTGGCTCAGCCTCCCAGAGTGTATGTTTTACACTGCCAGGCCACCATCCAGCCCCTGCCGTACCAACATGGCTGTTTATTTTTTTTCTTTAATTTCTTCTTCTTTTTTTTTTTTTTAAAGTGATTTTTGCTATTATAGGGCAGGTACACTCACCAGAGACAGAAAGCAAGAAATGACCACTCAGGGGGGATGGCCATACCTCAGTCCCTTCTCCTCCAATCTCCTCTCGGGATTTTGGGTAAGTGTACACACACACCGGCTTGAGTTTAATGTTGCTGGGTCCGGGACTGGAATCGGGGTCGACTATGTGGAAGTCCAGTGACATAACCATTACACCATCTACTGGCCCCCCAACACAGCTTTTAAAACTCTGCACAAGGGGCCAGCAGATGGCATGGCAGTTAAGGCGCTGGACTCCCACAGGGCTGACATCGGTTTGAGTCCTGGACCTGGAGGCTTGCTTCCTCACTTGCCTGTCTCTCTCTCTCTCTCTGTTTCTCCCAGTCCAATTAAAAGACAGTAATAATAATAAATAACATTAAATAGGTAAATTTAAAGAGAAAAAACTTTGAACAAACTCCACGTGGGAGCGAAAGATCCCAACAGAGGGAACTGTCACTGTCTTCTAGAGTAAGCTAGCAAAGCCACAGAAATTCAGTCTTTCCTTAATGGCTACCTCTCCTTGAAACAAGCAACCCAAAATAAAACTAAAAAAGAGCAGGAAGGCCCTGTAGCCTAGTGGTTAAGGGAGCCAGATTCCACAAGACTAACCACTGTTCAAGTCCTGACCCTGGTGGCTTGAAAAATATGGCAAGTACATATGCATACATGTCTGTATGTGTGCTCACATACGTGTATTTCACATGAGTGACCGGCAGCAAATAACATTAAAAGATCTCAGTGGCATGTACGAGACTGCTTCTAAAATCCTCTACCCATGTCTCAATATTTGAAATATAAGGAAAATAAGATCAATACGAATGAGGGAGACCCGCAGGTGGCATGATGGTTAAAATGCTGGACACTCCCACATGGCTGACCACGGTTCGAGTATGGGACCTAGCGGCTTGCTTTCTCACTCCTCCTCCCCCATGTGTGTCTATCTCTGGTCAAATTAAAATAAATGCATGAATAAATAAAATTAAATATTTGTTAAAGATGTAAATGAGCGAAAGCGAACATGGTTTGGGTTGCACTACTCAGGTAATTAATTCTGGAAATCAAGTTGACTCAGGGGCACTGAATTCTCCATGAAAAATCATTGATATTGGGAACCAGCAGTTAGCATAATGGCTATGTCGCTGGACTCCCACGTAGTCGACCGCGGTTCGAGTCCCGGACCCGGTGGCTTAAAACTCACGCCGGGCGCGTGTGCGTGCGTGCCCAAGATCCCAAGAGGAGAATGGAGGAGAAGGGATTGCGGCGTGACCATCCCCCCTGGGGGGTGATTTCTCGCTTTCTGTCTCTATTTCTCTCTCTGTCTGTCTGGCGAGCGCACGCGCCCTACAGTGAAAATCTCTCCAAAAAAAAGAAAAAAAATCATTGATATTCACAATACTTGGAAAAATTCTATTTGGCTAGCGTTTCTTATTTGCCCAATATATGCCAGACCCTGCTGCAAGCTCTTTCCTGCACGATGTGGGTGCATGCTCACCAGCCCCTAATGCTCTTTATCCGATTAAAAGACAGAGAAACTGAGGCCCCCCAGGTCTTGAAGATGCAGGGAAACGAGGCACTGGGAGGTCCCGAGCCCGGACCCGACGCACCGTCCAGGGTGGGAAGTCTGGACCTCGGGGTCCCACCGACCCCAAAGCAGCCGGGCCCGCCCGGCCGGCCCCGCGTACCGTGTAGAGCGTCAGATCGACGTGTCGCCACAGCCACCGGTCGTCCACCAGTCTCTTCCAGCGGTGACAGACCCTGGGGGACGGGGACGCGCTGTTAGAACGAGTCCGGGGGCACCGGACTCGCAGCTCCGGCCGCGCCCCCCGCCCGGTCCTGACCCCCGGCAGGCGGGACTGCACCTCGAGACGCGGATTCGGTCCCGGACCGGGAGGTAAGAGAAGATTTCTAACATGACTGAGTCCGGCAGGTCGGACAGAGTCGCCATAATCCCGCCGACATTCATTTCCGCTTCCGGCTGAAGCGACGCCAGGACGACCCCGGGGGTCGACGAAGCGGAGGGGGCGTCGGGAGGGCGCAGACCGTGACCTCCGTGGCCGGCCGAGAAGTCTGACCTCCCTCCGCAAGGGCTGTGGTTGGGTCCCGGGCTGTACCAGCCTGGGGTCGGGTCCCGGCGCGGAAGCCCGGCAGGAGTGGAGGGGCTGGAGAAAAGGACGAGGCGCAGAAACTGAGGCCGAGGCCCGAGGACAAACATCTCGCCCGGGAGGCGGGGCGAGGCGGGGCGAGGCCTGGGGGCGCTGGAGGACAGGACCGAGCCTCGCACGCGACGCTGGGGGCGGAGCCGGGAAGGCGGGGCTGGAGATGTCGGCTCGCTCAGGGGGCGTGGCTAAGAGGACGGAGATGGGGGAAATCTGCCTGGTAGGCGGGGCTGGAGAAGACGGTCTTCCCATGGGGCGGGACTAGGCGCGGGAAGGACAGGACCGAGCCTCGAGAGCGTGGTTGGAAACGGAGACGAGAATCTGTCTGGCAGGCGGGGTTGGGGCGGGGCAAGAGACGACGGCCCGCCCGGAGGGCGTGGCTAGGGCCGGAGTGAGCCCCAGGAGGTGGGTCTGTAGGCGGGAACTAAGCCTGGAACCCATAGCTCGGGAGGAGGCGGGGCTGGAGGTTTGAGGCGGGGCTGAAGACAACGGTCCGCCCAGAGGGCGGGGCTAGGGTCGGAGCGATGCCCAGGGGGTGGGGCTGTGGGCGGGAACCAAGCTAGAATGCGTAGGTTGGGGCGTTGACATGGATCATGCCGGGAAGCTGGGTCCTGAGACGTGGCTAGGGCCGGGCGAGGCCTAGGGGATGGAACCAAGGCCTTGAAAGCGAGGCTGAGGCTCTGGACTAAACCTGGAAAGCATAGCTGGGGGCGGAGACAAAGACCATGACTAGAAGGCGGGGCAGAAGACGTAGGCCAGCTTCGAGGGCGTGGCTAGGGCCAGGGCAAAGCCCAGGGACGGGAACCAAACCTATAATGGAAGGCGGGGCTGAAGACGAAGGACAGCCCTGAGGGCGTGGCTAAGACCAGGGCCAAGCACAGGGGGCGGGGCCTAAACATATGAATGGAAGGCGGGCTGGAGACGAGGGCCAGCCCTGAGGGCGTGGCTAGGGCGAGATCAAGGGGTGGGGCTGAGGACGGGAACCCGGTCAAGAGTGAGGTTAGGGGCGGTGACAGTCCTGCCGGAGAGGTGTGGTTGGGCGCAGTCAGGTGTGGGGGCGTTCTCCATGCGAGGGCGCAGCACAGAGAACGTGACTACCGGCTGGGAAGGTCCCGAGGGCGTGGTAGGAGACTGGGATCCGATCTAGAAGGCAGGGCAGGGGACTCGAACCCGGCCCAGGACCATGCCCGGAAGGGCCGCCTGGGCAGGGTATGGCAGGGCAAACCAAGCCCCGAAGCAAAGTTCAAAATGGGATCTAAAGACAGGCATGAGATTGGAACAGGAACCAGGGGTGGGGCATGGGATGCCAATCAAGCCCCAAATGTGTGCTGGGGGGATAGTGGAGTGAGGACAGAAAAGGTGACCAAACCAGGACCGGACCCAGGTGAGGCCTGCTGGCAAGGCCAAGTGGCTAATGGTCATGGCAGTGTAACATCTCTATTTTATTCAATGCTTTTGATTCTTATATACAAGGGTAAACTTGAATAAGTGGAAAAGTTTGTCCAAAGGATAATGCTGAACCTTTAAGGTTTTAGCCACAGTGCGCATGCATTTGTGTGCTCCCAGGAGAGAGAGACAGAGAGACAGAAACGAGTAATTACTCTCCAAGTAGGGGGGCCCTGCCGCAATCCTTTCTCCATTCTCCTCTCAGGGTTCTGGGCATGCATGCACAGGTTCCCAGCGTGAATTTCAAGCTGCCAAGCCCAGGACTCGAACCACTGTTCCAGTGGGAGTCCAGCATCTTAGCCAGTATGTCACCTGCCGGCCCCCCTGCATTGGAAAATTTTAGTATCTTGTTAGAGTTCTGGTATCAATCCCCTGCAGACACCAAGGAACAACTACTTAGCTCAATTACTTCCCACAAATGTTAAGTGGGTCAGTAATACAGAGCAAGGGGAGACAGAATCAGACAGGTGAGCTGTACAAAACAAGATTCTGCAAGGCCAGCCCATACGGGAAGGTTCTGACTTCCCTAACTGTGTAGGCATGTGTGTGCTCAACACCCAGAACTGCCTGAGGCTGGGGACAGCTTGTGGCGTTAGGACACCATTAGGGTACCATCTTGCTTGTTCATGAAAAAAATCAATAAACTACTCTTTTTGGTAGTATTTACTAGAGGGTGTGTGTCTCTCTAGAGAGACAGAGAGGTAAAACAAGAAATCATGGAGTTGGCAGGTGGCATGGTGGTTAACACACTGGATTCCCACATGGGTGATGGGTTCAAGTCCCAACCTGGGGGCTTGCTTTCTCACTTTCCCTCTCTCCGTCTGTCTGTCTCTCTCTCTCTCTCTTGGGGGCACATATGCCCTATAGCAAATTAAATAATAAAGTTAAATATTCTTTTTAAAAAATTAAGGTGCAGGGTCCAGCAGTTAGCGTAATGGCTATGTCGCTGGACTCCCATGTAATCAATTGCAGTTCAAGTCCCGGACCCTGAATTCCAGACCCAGTGACTTAAACTCATGCCAGGCGCATGTGCATGCGTGCCCAAGATCCTGAGAGGAAGATGGAGAAGGGATTGTGACATGGCCATCCCCCTGGGGTGGATATTTCTCGCTGTCTCTGTCTTTCTGACAAGCAAATGCATCCTATAGCAAAAACTTCTCCAAAAAAAATATAGAAGCAGGGCCAGCATGTAATGGTTAAGGCGTTGGACTCCCACATGGCTGACCATGGTTCGAGTCCCAGACCTGGTGACTAGTTTCCTCACTTTCCCTATCGCCCTCTCTGGCTAGCACACATGCCCTATAGCAAAATTTTTAAAAAGTAACAATTTGGGATTGTGACATGGCCATCCCCCTGGGGTGGATATTTCTCGCTGTCTCTGTCTTTCTGACAAGCAAATGCATCCTATAGCAAAAACTTCTCCAAAAAAAATATAGAAGCAGGGCCAGCATGTAATGGTTAAGGCGTTGGACTCCCACATGGCTGACCATGGTTCGAGTCCCAGACCTGGTGACTAGTTTCCTCACTTTCCCTATCGCCCTCTCTGGCTAGCACACATGCCCTATAGCAAAATTTTTAAAAAGTAACAATTTCACATGGCTGACTACATAGTTCAAGTCCTGGGCCTGGTGTGGGTGTGGGTACCCCAAATCCCAAGGGACTGCTACACGTCCATTCCCTGGGGGTTGCTTCCTCACTTTTCTTCTCTCTCTGAGGAACACACATGCCCTAGAGCAGAAAACAAAAAGAAAACACAGAAATGGGTACAGAGAGATAAATACATGTTCTCCTTTATACGTGGAAACTGGAAGAAAAAAAAATTACCTGATTGAAGTAGAGAAGGAAAATGACTCCTGGTGGCTGAGAAGGACCAGAGGGAGAGAGAGATTAACAGAAACAAAATCGCAAATGGACAGTGGTTTGTTTTTGTTGTTGTTGTTGTTTTTGGTGTGGGGGGAGAGGTTTTGCTAAAGGGCACGTGCACTCACCAGAAAGACAGAGAGAGAGAGACAGAAAGCAAGAAATCACCCCCGCAGGGGAGATGGCCACACAGCAATCCCTTCTCCATTCTCCTCTCAGGATCTTGGGCATGCACACACACGCGCCCGGCGTGAGTTTAAGCCACCAAGTCTGGGACTCGAACTATTGAGGACTACATGGGAGTCCAGTGACATAACCATTATGCCAACTGCTGGTGCCAAGTGTCTACTGTTATAAGGAAGAGTGGAGAGAATTTGGTTAACAACTCACTGGATATAATGTTCCAAGCGATTGAGATGATGGGTCCTCTACCAGGATTTCTTCATTACACATTGTATTCACCTACTGAAAAATCACACTGTAACTGTGCTGAACAAACACATTTTAGGGATGGGCAGGTGCCATGGTGGTTAAGGGCACTGGACTCCCCCATGGCTGACTGTGGTTCAAGTCCTGGACCTGGCAGCTTGCTTTCTCACTCTCTTTCCCTCACTCTGTCCCTTTCTCGTCAAATTAAATAAAGTTAAATAAAATAATTCTTAAAAAAAACACACACACACATTTTGGGGTTGGCAGGTTGCGTGGTGGTTAAAGGTACAGGATTACCACATGGCCAACTGCGGTTCAAGTCCTGGAATTGGTTGCTTGCTGTCTCACTTTCTCTCTCTCTTTCTCTGTGTGATCAAATTAAAAAATAACAACCAATGGAATTAAATATTTAAAAAAAAAAAAACACATTTTGAAAAAGGAATACACACTGGGACCAGCAGGTGGCATGTTGGTTAAAGCACTGAAATTCCCACATGGGATACAATGGTTCGAGTCCTGGACCTGGTGACTTGGTTTCTAACTCTACCTCTCTTTCGCTGGCAAAACTCATGTGAAATAAGTAAATAAAATAATTATTTTAAAAAATAATAAAAAAAACCTAAAGTTAAATAAAATAAGTCTTTAAAATAAAATTTAAGAAAAGGAAAAGACAGAAGTGGGTGATTTTGTAATTACAGCCTTTCCAGCGTCTTCCTCCAGGCCTCTAGTCTAGGTCCAGGCTTGCTTAGTGACAGCCCCTGCACCCCAGCGATGGGAATGGGGGTGGAATTATATTTACCATGGCCACCACTGAACGAACGAGACAGGGTGACTGCAGGCCTACCCCTCCACCGCCCACAGCCCCTAAAGCCAGAAGTGGGTGATTTTGTAATTACAGCCTTTCCAGCGTCTTCCTCCAGGCCTCTAGTCTAGGTCCAGGCTTGCTTAGTGACAGCCCCTGCACCCCAGCGATGGGAATGGGGGTGGAATTATATTTACCATGGCCACCACTGAACGAACGAGACAGGGTGACTGCAGGCCTACCCCTCCACCGCCCACAGCCCCGAAAGCTGGAAGGGGGTCAGCCCCCAGGCCTGGCGGGTAAGGCCGCTGGATCCCACCGGGATCCCACTCGGCCCACCCGGAGTCTGACTCCGCCCTCCATGGGAAACCCGCCAGGCGAGTGCAGTGCGCACCCAAAACCCCGAAAGAAGGGAGAAATGCAGAAGGGAATTCGGCGGACTGTGTCCCCCAAGCGGAGGATAGTTCTCTTCTCCCTGGCGAGTGCACGCCCTCCGGCAAATTTAGGGGGGAAAAAAGCGACTTCGTCGGGTCCCACGGGGTCCTCTTGTCCCCGGGGGGCTCCGGCGTCTCCACCCGCTGACCTGACCTCTCACCCGCGAAGGGGCCTCGAACCGCCCACAGCAAGCTCGGTGCCGGCCCGAGTCCCAGACTCCGGCTCCACGAGCCTCCACGGCCCCGCGCGACCCAGACTCGGTCCCACTCGCCCACCTCTGCCGTCCGCTGCGTCACCCGAAACGCGCCGGCAACGCGTGGGCGGGACTTCCGGCGGGGCACTTCCGCTTCCGGTTCCCAGCGTCGCTTTTAGCCGGAGCTAAACGTTCCAGCCGGGAGGTTGTGGCGTCGGCGGGTTCGAGGCGATTTGAGGTGAGTGGGCCAGGCGGAGAGGCCTGGATTCGGGGAGAGCGGGGGAGACCCTGTCCCCGGGCGGCGAGGGTGCGGCCGGGCCTTCGGGAAACGGGACGCGCGGAGGGGAGGCTGCCGAGGCCGCGGCCCTGGGCCCGGGAGCGCTCGGGGAGGGCTTGGGAGGCAGGATCCCGGGGGGACTGCGGACCTGGGAGACCCCTAGATCTCTCTCCGCCTTCTCCTCCCCGCTCAGCTCCAGCCAGGATGATCGAGGTGGTTTGCAACGACCGTCTGGGGAAGAAGGTCCGCGTGAAATGCAAGTATCCTCCGACCGCCGAGGGGCGGCGGCCCCTGCGCGGGCTTCGCAGGAGGCAGGCGACTCACTGCGTGTTGCAGGGTGGTCTTACTGCGTTAAACCCGGGTGAGGGTACGGATGGGGACTTGGCAGGTCGTCTGTAGCCCTGGGGCTCCCTTTTCCTCGTCTGCCTTCCCCCTTCCATTTGCCTTAACTCCTCTGCGCCCAGCACGGATGACACCATCGGGGACCTTAAGAAGCTGATTGCAGCCCAGACTGGCACCCGTTGGAACAAGATCGTGCTGAAAAAGTGGTGAGTGCCGCGGCGTTACTGGGGGCTGGAAGGGACTAGGCCTGCAGGTTTGGGTTGGGGAGCCCTGCCGGGAGCCCTTCCCTTAGGCGGGGCTTCCTCAGCCTGCCTCCAGGGGCTTCTCGCTGAAAGACCTCTTTCCTCTAGGTACACGATTTTCAAGGATCACGTGTCTCTGGGGGACTGTATCCTTTGTGTGACTTTTTGCCAATGCGTCCACGTACCTAGCCCTGCTTCTCTTATGTGCTTAAGGTGTTCCAAGTTTGCGGCACACCGTAATTATTTTGAGAGGGCAGATTTCCGTTGGCAGAATGTTTTGACTAAGCTTAGAAGACTATGTCATTTCAAATTCAGATGTTATTATTATTACTTTAAAGAGAGATTTTGGCTGTAGGGCACATGCACTCTGCTGGAGAGACAGAAAGCAGGAAATCACCCCCTGGGGGATGGCCCCTCCACAGTCCCTTCTCTGTGCTTCTCTTAAGATTTTGAGTGTGCATTCACACGCACCCAGTGTGAGTTTCAAGATGCCGGGTCCAGGACTCGAACCGCACCCGGCCACGTGGGAGTCCAGCGATGTAAACGTTAGGCTATTTGCTGGTCCCCAGATGTTGTTGAATTCTGCCTGAGTGTTGAAGAGGAGGCCAGGATATAGAGAGTCTGGGGTGTGTTTTGTGAAAAAGGCGTAGGAACTGTTTTCATAGTTTGGATTCTCTGCAGACTGAATTGACCCAGTCCAGAAGGGCTGCCTAGCCCGGGGCTGAGTCTCCATCCTGAGTGTCCTCTGTGGGTGGGTAGGAAGGGTGGGGATGGGGCCAGACAGAATTCCTTAACTCCTTTACTGCAGATGAAATCCATGACGGGATGAACCTGGAACTTTATTACCAATAGAGCAGAAACCCTTCTCCCTGCTCCACCCCTCCTCCTCACCCACCTTCATCCCCCACGCTGGTGTAGATGCTTGTTTATAAAAACTCACATTAATAAAAACTCAGATGCTGCTTCAACGTCGTCATCTTTGTGTGGGGGCAGTCTAGTGGCAGGAGGGTTGGTTTCTGTCCGGTTATCGATAGTATCAGGAACCAGCAGGAGGTCATGATGGACTGGATCCTTGAGGCCGAGGTAGACCAGCAGACTGGTCTGGAGCTGGCCATAGGTCTCTGAAAGTCAGGAAACCCTGGGAGCCGTATTTTCTCATTTATTTATTTATTTATTTATTTATTTTGGAGAGGTTTTTGCTATAGGGCGCGTGTGCTCGGCAGACAGACAGAGAGATAGAAAGCGAGAAATCACCCCCCAGGGGGGATGGCCACGCCGCAGTCCCTTCTCCTCCAGTCTCCTCTCGGGATCTTGGGCACGCATGCACACGCGCCCAGCATGAGTTTAAGCCACCTGGGTCCAGGACTCGAACCACAGTCAACTAAATGGGAGTCCAGCGACATAGCCATTATGCCAACTGCTGGTCCCATTTCTTTGTTTTTAAAGAATCATATACTTGGGACCAGCAGGTGGCATGGTGATTAAAGCACTGGACACTCCCACATGACCGACCATGGTTCAAGTCCTGGACCTGGTGGCTTACTAACTCTCTCTCTCTGTCTCTCTCTGGTCAAATGAAAATAAGTGAATGAATAAATAAAATTAAAATAAAATAATTATTTAAAATAAAAAAAAGAATCATATACTTATTTAATTCTATTTGCTATCATTATTTCTTTTTCAATTTGACCAGAGCAAGAGAGAGAGAGAGAGAAGGAAAATGACAAAGCAAGCTGCCAGATCTGGGACTCGAACTGCGATTGGCCATATGGGAGTCCAGCATCCCAACCACAACGCCACCCGCTGGCCCTCTTAGGAGTACTGTTACCCTAATAAGCCAGGGTCCCTTTAGGCAAGGCCGGTAGAGATGATAATTAGCAACACGGGCGAGGATTCAGACAGACCATTGGTGGAATATTACCTCTCACCAGCAGCCGAGTTGACCCTGAGCAAGTTACTCAACCTCCCAGAATATCCGTTTCCTTATACGAACAGGAACTAGTCGTGTTTTACGTGGTGTGTATGTCAGTGAAGTTAGAGGAAATAAAGCAGGTGCGAGCATCCGCAGCTCCTGGCACTTATCAAGACAAACATGAGGTCCCGGTAGACAGCGAGAGACAGCTCAGGCTGAAGAGTCAGGCCTACTGGGCTCGTTTGTTTGTTTATTTATTTTTAGAAGGATTTTTGCTATAGGACGCATGCGTTCTCCTGAGAGACAGAAAGCAAGAAATCACTTCCTGAGGGGATGGCCAAGTTGCAGTCCCTTCTCCATTCTTTCCTCGGGATCTTGGGCACACATGCACATATACCCAGAGGTAGTTTAAGTCACCGGGTCCAGGACTCGAACTGGAGTCGACTACGTGGGAGTCCAGTGATATAAGCATTATGCCATTTGCTGGTCCCCAGACCTACGGGGTTGGAATCTTCACGAGTCATAGCATGGGGGTTCAAGAGCATGAGCTCTGAGCTCTATAACCCAGCCTCAGGTTGGTACCCACACCTCAGGCTATATGTGGTTAATACAGCAGGCTGCCTGGCATGTATGTGGTAGTATCAGCCGTCCCCCATCTGGGTGTGAGCAGACGAGACGGAACACCTCGTCTCTTCCTCATGCCATGGACTCATGTTGACCTTGGCCCCATCTTCCCACAGAGTAGGAGACGGACCGGGGTCCGGAACCTGACTCGCTACTCTCCCCACTTCTGAATTGATGTCATGGACCCTCAGGATACAAACATGTTCCAATCGAGGCCACAGCCCTGTTCTGTCCTCCCTGCTGAGTCCACCCAGCCTTCCACCAGGGTTCTTTTGTTTTTTAGATTTTATTTAACTGTATTCATTTAAATTTGACCAGAGAGGGACAGAAAGAGAGAGAAAGCAGGCTGCCGGGTCTGGGACTCAAACCATGGTCAGCCATGTGGGAATCCAGCACCCTTAGCCACCAAGCCACCTGCTGCCGCTTCTCTATGCTTTGTTTTTTGGTATCTCTCCATATCCATTGTCTCAAATTTTTTATTAGCATTTTTTAAAGAATTATTTAATTTTATTTATTTATTCATTTATTTTAATTTGACCCGAAAGAGAAAGTAAGAAAGCAAGCCACCAGCTCCAGGACTCGAACCATGGGAGAGTCCAGCACCTTAACCGCCATGCCACCTGCTGGTCCCTTTATTGACATTTTTGTTCATTTTTATTTGCTTTTTTCCTAAAAGGTATATGTGCTCATCAGAGAGAGACACAGAGAAGGTAAGAAATCGCCCAACAGGGAGGAAGGCCACGCTGCAATCTCTTTCTCTTCCATTTTCCTCTGGATTTTGTACACACACACTCTTGATTCTCAAGACTTTGGGTCGAGAACTCAAACCACAGTCAGCCATGTGGGTTCCAGTCACCATCACCATGCCACCTGCTGATTGGTACCTATTAAGCTTTTTTTTTTATTATTATTATTTTTGGGGGGGAGACATTTTTGCTATAGGGCGTGTGCACTTGCCAGAAGTGAGACAGAGAGACAGAAAGCGAGAAATCACCCCCCAGGGGGGATGGCCACACCACAATCCCTTCTCCTCCAGTCTCCTCCCAGGATCTTGGGCACGCACGCACACAGCGTGAGTTTAAGCCACCAGGTCCAGGACTCGAACTGCGGTCGACTACATGGGAGTCCAGCGACACAGCCATTACATTAACTGCTGGTCCTATTTCTTTTGTTTTAAAAGAGATTTCTTTGCTATAGGGCGCGTGTGCTCACCAAAGAGTCCGAGAAGAGAGAGACAGTAAGAAATCGCCTTTGGGGGGCGGGGGGCATGGCCATTCTGCAATCCATTCTCCTCTTGAGATTATGCACACGCACCTGGTGTGAGTTCAAGCCACCAGGTCTGGCACTTGAACTACAGTTAGCTACGTGGCAGTCCAGCACCTTAAGCATCATGCCACCTGCTGACCCCATCTGATTTATTTATTTGTTTTTGAGAGATTTGTCCTTGGGGCTGGCATGTGGCATGATGATTAAGGGCACTGGATTCTCACATGGCCAACCACTGTTCAAGTCCGGGACCTGGTAGCTTGCTTTCTCACTTTCCATCTCTCTCACTCTGTCCTTCTCTGGTCACATTTTAATTAATGAATTAAATTTAATAATTCTTTTTTGGGGGGAGACGTTTTTGCTATAGGGCACATGTGTTCACCGGAAAGACAGAGAGAGACAGAGAGACAGAAAGTGAGAAATCACCCCCCAGGGGGGATGGCTACACCGCAATCCCTTCTCCATTCTCCTCTTGGGATCTTGGGCGTGCACGCACACACGCCCAGCGTGAGTTTAAGCCACCAGGTTCGAGACTTGAACCGCGGAGGACAACATAGGAGTTCAGCAACATAGCCATTACGCCATCTGCTGGTCCCTACATTGAATAATTCTTTTTTAGAAAGAGATTTTTTTTTTCTGTAGGGTGTGTACACTTGGTAGAGAGACAGAAAGTAAGAAATCACCTCCCAGAAGGCCACACTGCAATTCCACCTCCTCCATTCTCCCCTTGGGACTCTGGGTATGCATGCACCCACGCCTGGTGTGAGTCCCAGGCTGCTGGGTCTGGGACTCGAACTGCAGTCAACCATGTGGGAGTCCAGCAGTGTAACCACTATGCCTTCTGCTTTAAAAAACAACAACAGCAGTAGCAGCAACAGTATGGGGGTGGGGGCAGTGCCTGTGTGAACTGGGGCAGGTATTCCGTGTGGCGTGCAGGGTAAGTGCACACGCCCTATAGCAAAGGTGGGGTGCAGGCTCCTCCTCTCAGAGCAGTCTGTAGTTATCACAGCTGAGTCCCACCACCAAGCTAAAGGCAGCGGAAGCGGGGAGTTGACCTAAATGACTTTGTAACAGTAACATTATCAGGCCTGGATACTGTAAAGCTAAAGACAAACCCTTGTATACAAACTGTAGGGAGGAAATCCGTCCCTTGCAGGGATAGGATACTGCAATTCTGAAGCTACTTATGTGTGTACTTGTAACAGCTCACAGGGTGGAACAGTTACATAAATGTATGCAGAGAGAGCAGCCTCGGCCTCCCACTGCAGGGGGGAGAGTTTCCAATTAAGACAGTAGAGGAGGGGGGCGGGCAGGTGGCGTGGTGTGGTTAAGGCGCTGGATTCCCACATGGCCAACTATGGTTCGAGTCCTGACCCCAGGTTTCTCATTCTTCCTCTCTCTGTCTCTGGTCAAATTGAAGAATAACAATAAATAAATAGAGTTAAATAATTCTTAAAAATAAATAAGAAAGGGAGAAGTGGAAGACTATGGGGCTGGGTTCGAGTTGGGGAACTCCCTGCAAGCTGAACACGGATTCCTGGAGGGGGTGCACCCAGAGGACATGGAAGCTCCATGGTCCCCCCACATGCCTTTCCCTATGCATCTCTTCACCTGTATCCTTTAACAACATCCTTTATCATAAGTTGGTAACCATAACTTAGGGTTTCCCTGAGTTATGTGAACCGACGTTAACCGCTCCAGTGAATTCATTGAACCTAAAGAATAGAAAGGATTAGAAACCCTAACTTGTTTTGTGTGTGTGTGTGTGTGTGTTTTAATTAATAATTTTTTAGAGAGGTTTTTTGTTTGTTTTTGGAGAGGTTTTTGCTATAGGGCATGTGTGCTCACTAGAAAGACAGAAAGACACAGAAAGCAAGAAATCATGCCCTGGTGGGGAGGTGGCCACACCGCAATCCCTTCCCCATTCTCTCGGGATCTTGGGCATGCACGCACACGCGCCTGGCGTGAGTTTAAGCTACCAGGTCCGGGACTCCAACCACAGTCGACTACATGGGAGTCCAGCGACGTAGTCATTACGCGAACTGCTGGTCCCAGGAACCCATGTAGCCAGCTGGTCAGAAGTTCCAAATGTCTGAAAGGGGGGATAGTCTTAGGGACGAGCCTTCAACCTGGGGGACTGGCAGTTTTCTTTGTTTTATGTTTTTG